TTCTTTTACTACTTTCAGAATTTCCTTTTTTATGTTTAAATCTTTAATGAACTTGAAATGTATTTTAGCATATAGTGAGTTGGGACTAGATATTATTCCATCCAATTGACTAGTACATCTTCCTACCATTTATTAAATAATTTCCTTACATATGTTAATACCATCTGCTTTAGACAGGGTTTTTTAGTGAGTCAGAACCATTAACATAGATATATAGAGAGTAGCTGATGACAGTTTTCTAACGAATTGGTCCATGGTATGATGGAGGGTCTACCACTCATCTGTCAGTTTGTCGTACTGTGGTGGCTTGTGAGTTGCTGTGATTCTGGAAGCTATGCCATGGGTATTTTATATACCAGCAGGGTCAGCCATGGTGGACAGGCTTCAGGTGAGCTTCCAGATGAAGATAGACTAAGAAGGAGGAGTGATGAACTACTTGTGAATATTTAGTCACTTATGAGTAGCAGAGAAACACTGTCAAATATAGTGCCAGAAAATGGGGCCCTTAGGTTGGAACGCACTCAAAATGCAACTGGGGAAGACCTGCCTCCTCAAAGTAGTTTGACCGTGATGACGCGAATGGAGTAAAGCCCACAGAACCTTCATTTGCTTATGGGGCACAACTCAAAATGAAGAGAAACAGCAGTAAACATCCATTGAAAATCGGAACATGTAATGTACAAAGTATGAATCTGGAAAAATTGGAAGTCGTCAAAAATGAAAGGGAACGCATAAACATCAATATCTTAGGCATTAGTGAGATGAAATGGACTGGTATTGGCCATTTTGAATCTGAGACCACATGGTTTACTATGCCAGGAATGAAAAATTGAAGAGAAATGATGTTGCATTCATTGTCAAAAAGAGCATATGCAGATGAGGTACAAAGCTGTCTGTGATAGAATGATACTCATGTGCCTACAGGTAAGACCAGTTAATACCACTATTATTCAAATTTACACACCAACATATAAAGCCAATGAGGATGAAATAGAAGAATTCTATCAATTTCTTCAATCTGATATTGATCAAACATGCAATCTAGATGTATTGATTATTACTGGTGATTGGATGCAAAGGTTGGGAGCAGAGGAAGGATCAGTAGTTGGAAAATATGGCCTTTGTGATAGAAATGATGCCGGAGATTGCATGATAGAATTCTGCAAACTCAATCATTTCTTCATTTCAAGTACCTTTTTTAGACAGCATAAGAGACAACTATACACATGGACCTCACCAGATGTAATACATAAAAATCAAGTTGACTCCATATGCTAAAAGAGATGATGGAAAATATCTATCTATATCATCAGTCAAAACAAGGCCAGGAGCAGATTGTGGAACAGACCCATCAATTGCTTACATGCAAATTCAAACTGAAGCTGAAGAAAATGAAAAGAAGTCTACAAGAGCCAAAATATGACCTTGAATATATCCTACCTGAATTTAGAGATCATCTGAAGAACAGATTTGATAGAGTAAACACTAAAGACTGAAGACCAGAAGAGTTGTGGGATGACATCAAGTACATCATACATGAAGAAAGCCAAAAATCATTAAGAAGACAAGAAAGAAGGAAAAGATCAAAATGGATGTCAGAAGAGACACTGAAACTTGCTCTCCAGCTTAGAGATGCTAAAGAAAATGGAAGAAATGAGGAGGTCCAAGTGCTGAACAGAAAATTCAAAGGTCAACTTGAGAAGACAAAGTCAAATACTACAATAAAATGTGCAAAGATCTAGAGTTAGAAAACCAATAAGAAAGAACACGGTCAGCATTTCTCAAGCTGGGGGAACTGTAGAAAAAAATTCAAGCCTCAACTTTCGTATTGAAGGATTCTTTGGGCAAATTATGAATGATGCAGAAAGCATCAAAAGAAGATGGAAAGAATACACAGTCACTGTACTAAAAGGAAATGGTTGATATTCAACCATTTCAAGAGGTAGCATATGATCAATAGCCAATGATACTGAAGGAAGAAATCCAAAGTGCACTGAAGGAATTGGCAAGGAACAAGGTACCAGGAATTGATGGAATAAAAACTGAAATCTTTCAAGCAAGTTGAAGCAGTGCAGAAGGCTATCACTCATCTCTGCCACGAAATTTGGAATACAACTATCTGGCTGACTGGTTGAAAGAGATCCATATTTATGCCCATTCCAAAGAGAGGTGACCCAACAGAATGTGGAAATCATTGAACACTATCTTTGATAACCCATTCGAGTAAAGTTTTACTAAAGGTAAAACAGAAACGGCTCCAAGCATACATTGACAGAGAACTTCCAGAGGTTCAAGCCAGATTCAGAAAAGGACATGGAACGAGGGATATCACTACTGATGTCTGATGGATATTGGCTGAAAGCAGACCATACCAGAAAGATGTTTACCTGTGCTTTATTGACTAAGCAAATGGTTTTGATTGTGTGGATCATGACAAGCTATGGGCAACATTTTGAAGTATGCGTATTCCTGAACCCTTAATTGTGCTCATGAAGAATTGGTACATGGTCCAAGAGGCAGTTGTTCGAACAGAACATGGGAACACTGGTTTAAAATTTAAAAAGGGATGCGACAAAAAAAGGCTTGCAACAGGGTTGTATTCTTTAACCGGACCTGTATGCTGAGCAAATCGAGAAGCTGAGTTGTATGAAGAAAAACATGGCATGAAGATTGGAAGAAGACTCACTAACAACCTGTGTTATGCAGATGATGCAACCTTGCTGAAAGTGAAGAAGACTTAAAATATTTACTGATAAAGATAAAAGACTACAGATTTCAGTATGGCTTGTGTCTCAATATGAAGAAAACAAAAATACTCAAAAGTGGACCAATAAACAACATTCTTATCAACGGAGAAAAGATTGAAGTTGTCAAGGACTTCATTCTTCTTGGATCAACTATCAACACTCATGGAAGCAGCAGTCAAGAAATCAGACGACATATTGCATTAGGCAAATATGCTGAACAAGACCTTTTTCAAGTGTTGAAGACCAAAGATGTCAGCTTGAGAACTCAGGGCCTCTGACCCAAGCCATGGTATTTTCAATAACCTCATATGTTTGCAAATGCTGGACAGTGAATAAGGAAGACCGTAGAAGACTTGATGCTTTTGAGTTACGGTTTTAGAGAATATTGTAAGTGCCATGGTCTCCAAAAGAACCAACAGATTTTTTTTTGAAGTGTAGCCAGAGTGCTTCTTGGAGGCCAGGATGACCAGTCTTCGTCTCTCGTACTTCGGACATATTGTCAGGAGGGACCATTCGCTGGAGAAGGATATCATGTTTGGTAAGGTGGAAGGTCAGATAAAAAGAGGAAGACTCCTAGAGAGATGGATTGGCAAAGTGACAGCATCAGTGGACTCAAGCGTGGCAACAGTGGTGAGGTTCTCAGACCCAGAACTGGACAGTGTTTTGTTCTGCTGTGCATAAGGTCGCTATAAATCGGTACCAGCTCGGTGGTAGCTAGCAACAACAACAGTGGTGGAGGGTGTGGAAGTTCATTGGCAAGTCCAAAATCTGAAGGTAAGCCAGTAGGCTAGAGATTCTATCAGTCTCATGTCCCAAAACCTATATGTCAAGTGATGGGGAAAGTAGCAGGATTCTGGAAAGATTCTTTTTATAGCGTATAGGCAGAATACGCCACAGGGCAGTCTTCCTTTTTGCTCTTAAAGACCTTCAACTTATTGAGTAAGGCCCACTTAAATTATGGAGGCTAATCTGGTTTAAAGTCAACTGATTAAATCGCATATAACTTTTCTGGTAGCATAGTGTTTACAAGTTGGACTGATAATCTCACAGTCAGCAGTTCAAAACTTACCAGTGGTTCCTTGGGAGAAAGATGAGGCTTTCTGCTACTGTAAAGATTTACAGCCCTGAAAATCTTATACACGGGTGTTGTGAGTTGGAACTAACTCCACGGCACATAACTACCACCGACTATAACAAATCTAGATTAGTGTTTGACCAAACAACTGGCCTCCCATAGCTTTGTCAAGTTGACATTTAAAGGTTAACTCTCACACCATCTCTAATAAGTTTAAAGTTATTATTTATGGGACTCTTCCATTACTTATTTTTAATTTAATGTTTAGCATGTATAGCTTTTTTATATTTAGAAAATCACAATTCCCAAAATGCTTTTTGTGAAATACTTTAAGTGGTGGTGGTGTTAAGTGCCTTTGAGTCAGCTCCAACTCATAGTGACCGTGTATAGGGTTTCTGAGGAGTGGCTGGTGGGCTTGAACCGCCAACCTTGCGGTTCAAACCAACATTGCAATCCAGCACATTAACCCCCAGTGACACACCAGGCCTCCGTTTTAAGTATTATAATGTTGAAAATGCATTTAAATATTTCAAATAAATTTCATTTATGGTCATAAATACTACCTAAAAATGCAAATCAATTAAAACTTTATTGTTGAATAGAGATTTAATCATCAATAATTTTAAATGATGCCTTCTGTAATTAAAGGTAATATCAAAAGCTGGAAAAATGAATTTGTTTATATTAAGTTTACTCCAAAGAAGTCCTGGTATGGCACTGGACTGCAAAATTGATTAGAACTTCAAGGTAGGCTGTTCAGGCTCACCAGCCACTCCTAAACAGGGTCGCTGTGGGTCATAAACGACTCAACAGCAGTTAACAACTTTACTCCCAAGTAGCAGTTATTGAGTGCTGTCAAGTTGTTTCAGAAGCATTAGCTCCCTTATATAGGGTTTCTGAGGAGCAGCTAGGGAGTTTGAACAGCCAATCTTGTAGTTCACAGTCCAGTGCTTATCCTATAGCGCCGTACCAGAAAGGAGGCCAAAGCAACAGTAGAAAATTTAAGTCAATATTTAGTATTTTAAATAAGATAGAGTAGAGTTGTTTTCAAGATTGGCAATAGATTAGCTGTTTAATTGACATTTAGTACAGACTAGTAAATCCAGTATGTTGTCATAGCTTAGTACAGAATATAGAGTTAATTCGCTTGTACTTATTTAACTATAATCTCTTCACAGTATAGATTTCCAGGCAAGATAACTATTAAAGAAGAAAAAGAAAATATTTATGAAGACTGCGAAAGGTTTGTTACATGATTTCTCATTATAAAACATTAGTCATGAATATATAATTAATATCTTTGAGTGTATGTGTGCTTGTGCTACTGTACCATTATGCCTTAATGGGTATAATTTAATTCATGTGTCAGGTGTACCCAGATAAATGAGTATTTGAAGTTAACCTGAAGGTAAATTTGAGTCTTAAAATTCTTAATAAATTTTCTGAGCCATTAGAAGAGTTTTTGAGGAAGGAGTAATAACTAGTGAGAAAACAAAACAATGAATGCATATATGACTTTTATGAGGGTGTTATTGAGTCCATCCCAGACAATGGAACAAAGCACTGCCCAGTGCTGAGCAATCCCCATAATCAGGTCAGACTAATGTAGCCCATAGGCTTTTCATTGACGGATACTCAGAAGTAGATCATTAGGCTTTTCTTTTTAGGCCATTTTAGTCTGAGGGTCAGAGTGGCCAAAATCAGATGAACATTGCTGTTTGCAGATAACAGATGCAGTAAATAGTACTGGGAGCTGCAGTAGACTCACTTTTAAGTGGAGTCAGTTCTTACTCATAGCCACCCTGTAAAGGGTTTCCAAGGAGCAGCTGGTGTGTTTGAACCGTTTATCCCACAGCATCACACCAGTTTTAGGTCCAGTTGTTGTTGTCGTGTGCAGTCGAGTTGATTCCAACCCATAGCAACTATATACATAGTTGAAACCATAGTATAGGGTTTCCGAGGAGCAGCTTGTGACCTTGAACTGCCAACCTTGCAGTTCACATGGCTTTGAAGTCTGGCACGTTAACCCACAGCGCCACACCAGAACTCCTTTAGATCCATTAGAACACCTAACACTACTGAATTAGAGTTGTAAGAAAACTTGGAGATGCCCTGATTCACTCCTGACCTCTCATTCTCATTTTGCTGGTGATAGAAGCCCAGGAGAAGTGAATATGTCCCGATCCTTTTCTGTTAAGGCAGTTTGTTCATAAAGTGAAGTTCCTGGAACTTGTTAGATGTGTAAATCATTGGGACGCACCTACTGAATCACAAACTCTGGGAATGGTGCCCATCAATCTGTGTCAACAAAATACCAGCTCATCCTGATGCATGCTCAAGTGTGAGAACCGGTTTGTGAAGGAAAAGGCTAGATAGAATTAGATTGGCACAGTTCTAGGGTGATCTTAAAGAAAAGTTAACTTGTTTTTTTATATTGAAACAATTTCATTTACAAACAGTGTTATTGCAAAATCTGTAGAGATTTATCATCCGTTCCACTCGTAACATAATAATAATGTGACATGGGTCAAGTCACGATCACCCTGGGCTCAAGTCATCCATTCAAAAGTAAAAGAATTGCACTAAATAATCTCAGTCTATAAAATTCCAAAATTCTTTCTTTCTTGTTTTATGTTACTATTTTTTTGTTTGCCGGGGTAGTAAGAACCACTGGTTGCGTAGTGGTTGCGAATCGGGCTGCTAACCTCACAGTCGGCAGTCCGAAAACTACCAGCTGTTCCACAGGAGAAAGATGAGGCTTTCTGCTCCCGTAAAGATTTATAGCCTTGGAAACCCTGTACAGGGTCATTACCCACTGATAATTACAATGTGAGTTAGAAACAAAGAAGGGTCAATAGTTGGAAAATATGGCCTTGGTGACAGAAATAACACCAGTTTGCATGATAGAATTTTGCAAGACCAATGGCTTATTCATTGCAAGTACATTTTTCCAACAACATAAAAATGGCAATACTACATGTGCACCTCAGATGAAACACACAGGAATGGGACTCCACAGTACTTAACAACAGTGTTGATTACACATGGCAGTTGATAATCACAAATTGGAGAGAAAGGCGAATGTCTCTACTTTGTGTGGAAATTTCTTAACTCCATCATTGCTACTAAATTTCAGTTATTGTATAAGTGTTTCCCTCACTTACTGTTATTCAGGACTTGGAACTGGTTCATTCCTGTTCAATCTCCTGCTGAGACTTTGCATTTCTATCCCAGATATACTGAATCAGCATGTACAGCTTAACAAGATCCTCAAGGTATTCTTATGTACACCCTCACCTCACTTAATCAGCTATATCGTTATTCAACATTTCAAATTTAGGACAATAGTAAAAAACCTACCTTACTATTTCACATTAACAACATATGTCTGGCAGTAATAGACAGCTAAGATGCAAGGTGAGAGTAATGCTAGCTGTGATGGTGACGGTTATGTGTCAACTTGGATGGACCATGATTCTCAGTGGCTTGGCAGTTGTGCAATAATATATTTTGTGATCTCACATGGTCATCCTACATTTCCTCATAATGACCTGGTCTGTGGAACCTAACCATGTCAATAGTTGAGGAGAAGGGTGTACTTAAGAATCACTTGGGCATCTGGTTAAAATGTAGATTCTCATTCTGTATATTTGGGTTGGAAATAGAAATTTTAAGCAGGAGGTCACACCATAATGAACTGTTCAAAGCCAGCTGAAAAAGCTTGTCAGAATTGTTCTTCAGATAAAACATTATAGTATCTGAGAGAGAGTGTCTTTCTCTTAAAAGTAAATTCATGTATATCTATTCCTCAGCGTTGAGGTAGTATCCTCCCTATTCCTTGCTTAAGTTCTTTATTTTTTAGATAAGTGATCTCCAAATGAGATTTTTCTAAACTGATTTTATGTTGTTATTATGGCTAAATGTCATCAAATCAGTTGTGATTCATAGGGTTTCTGAGGAGCAACTGGTGGGTTTAAACCACTGACCTGAGGTTAGCAGTCCAGTGCTTACCCTACAGCAGCATACCAGGACTCCAAAATGGTTATGTAGGAGCTCACATATTAGAATACAAACAAAGCTGTTTAAAGGTGGCAACCCTGGAGCATTAACATTTTTTTACACTTTTCCCCAAAGGAAACTGCTAAGTAGTACGCATATAGATTTATTTATTACGTTTGCATATCTTGGAGGGAATTTTTAATTCATTTATTTCATTGCACTGTCAACAGATTAATTTAATTGGATGACCTTTGCTGGATTATAACAATTACTCCTCACATTGTCTGGCATAATTAAAATTATTTTACTCCAGTTTAAACTCCTTACTCTCCTACCCCTCTTCTACTCATAACCCAACCATTTAGCAGTAGTTTTTCTAGTTAAGAAGACAGGTACAGTTTACTGAAAATCAAGTGCTTTGAATCCTTAAGTATTGTATTTAAGTATATAATGTAGGTAGCGTTCATATGTGTTTGTACTTATTTGATTATCATTACTTTAATGTTTTAAAAATACATTTAAATTCTAATTTTGATTTTTATGCTCATCCAGCAAAGACTTGAAAAATGTAGAGATTATACCTGGTGAATGTCAGTTAGCAGCACTGGGTCCAAAACCTCTGTATTTATTGGTGCCACCGTTAAATCTAAGTGCTCATCAAGAAGACTCAATCCTGAGACCCTGGATGAATGGTACTGTTTTCTTAATCAATATTATATTGACTTTCAGTAATATAGAAACTGTGCAGGGTAGTTTTCCACCAAAAGCAAAAAAGATCTTTTAAAATTTTGAAACAAATATTGTTCAGTACCATCAAGTCAGTTCCAACCCATAGCAACCCTGTATATGGTTTCCAAGGAGCAGCTGGTAAACTTGAACTGCTGACCTTGCAATTCAAACTGACTTTGCAGTCCAGCACATTAACCCACAGCACCATACCAGGATTCCGAAACAAGTATAAAATTTGTTAAAATTTGAAATATGTGTACATTTGTGCATTTGCTTAGTGCTTTTGGTAGAACAATTTCTAAAATAGTTGTATGTGATAGTAGTGTTGTTGTTAAGTGCCGTCAAGTCAATTTTGACTCATAACGACCCTGTGTAGAGTTCCCAAGCAGCAGCTGGTGAGTTTGAACAGACAACCTTTTGGTTGCAGTTCAGTGTTTATCCTATAGCACCATACTAGAATTCTGAAGAATAATTAACAAATTATAAAATTGCTTTGGGTAGCTCACACTTCACTCTTCTGTACTTTCTTATTACTCACTTCATGCTGCCTTATGTTACATACTACATACCCCATGATGGTAACATGTTTTATTTTTTAAAGGCTTCCATGCGTAGTGTAAATTACTGTAAAGCTATACATCATAAACATCAGCTTATTCCAGATTATATCTTGATGCTGCTAAGGTAAAAATGAAATTATTTTGAATAAAAAAATTAATTTGTTACTTTAGAAAAGACTCAATGTCCTAATTCTCATTTTAATAAGACCATAAAAGGGTTGTGCTTCCTAGTCTCAGTAGTTGTCTTCTTTAGAAAAGTGTATTGTGTATAAAATTTGTCACTAACTTTGAGTAGTGTCATTTGAATGCATTGTTCTATGCTTATGGGTTATGTAAAATATAAGATGATATCTTCAGTTTATAAATCCAAAACCAGACCCAGTGCCGTCAAGTTGATTTCAACTCGTAGTGACCCTGTAGGACTGACTAGAGCTGCTCCTTAAAATTTCTGTAAATCTTTAGAGGAGCAGACTCCCTCATCTTTTCTTTGGAGTGAGTAGTAGGTTTGAACTGCCAATCTTGCCATTAATAGCCCAGTGCTTCAATCACTGCGCCATCAGTGCTCCTTTTTTTCATTTGTATAGTGAGTTTAGTAGAGTGCGGGGATTCCATAGGCCTTGGCCTGAAAACAACAAGGCTACCCTTTTGAGCCAATCAGCCACACCATGGGATAAAGATGAGTCCTTCTGGTCCCATAAAGATACACAGCTTCAGAAACCCTACAGATGTTTGCTATGAGTCAGAACCACTTGATGGCAACTCATAGAGACCCTGTGCACAACAGAACAAAACAGCTAAGCCAGAGCCCATCATCGCCACCTCTTGCTAACCCATCTCATTGGGGGTCTTCCTCTTCTTCTCCGACCCTGCACTCTACCCAACGTAATATTCTTCTCCAGGGACTAGCCTCTCCTGATAGCATGTCCGAAATCTGAGAGTTGCAGTCTGGTCATCCTGGCTTCCAAGGAGCATTCTGGCTGTACTTCTTCCAACACAGATATGTTTGTTCTTTTGGCAGTCCATGGTACTTTTAATATTCTCCTCCAACACCATAACTCAAATGCATCTATTCTTCAGTCTTCCATATCCACTGTCCAACTTTCACATGCAAATGAGGTTATTAAAAATACCATGGCTTGGATCAGGCATACCTTCATCTTCAAAATGACATCTTTCACAACAACATAGTGAGTTTAAAATGTTTTAAATCGGGTTTAAAAACATTTAAAGTGTTTAAGATGGCAACCATTCTGAATTGCACAATAATATACTATGGCAGCACAGTCTGTAAATTAAGCATGAAAACTCCCAAGTAAAACTTGAATGTACATAGTACTGATCACTGTTTCATAGTTATAAAAGAATAAACATTAACCTATTGGTATGTAATGTCATTTTTTATTATTTCTAGATTTCAGATTTCCAGGAAAACATTCTCTTTTAAAGTTGCAGAATCCTGAAGCTAGTGAAATATTTAAAAGGGAAAAAAATCTAGGAGTAAGTTTCCCACTTTTTAAATTCATAATGTGTTACAGCATTCACTTTGGGGTCTTTGTGTTTTCCCTGTCCATCCTTGGTTCTTTAGCTGTTTTGGACAGTATACAGATACTAGAATGGGAATTGGTGGTTGTTGTTGTTAGGTGCCATCATAGCGACCTTATGCACAGCAGAATGAAACAATGTCTGATCCTGGGCCAACCTCACTATTATTGCCACGTTTTGAGCCCGTTGATGCTGCCACTTGGCCATTCCATCTTGCTTGGGGTCTTGGTGGTAAAAAGAAAAAACTAAGTATTGAATCAGGATACTCATAAGTAACACAAGAGATTGAAAGCAGAAGAAAGAATATCCAAAACAAAATACAGGAGAATTTCTTGTGATACAAAAGGAAGTTGTTAATATAAAGCAGGTTATGGGGAAAGTATATTGTAAAAAGTTCTAATGTTCATTTCACTTTTTGTGCTAATCAAAAAAGCTAAGGCAAGTTTTTGTACCAGATAAATGCACCTGAAATATAATGCATATGATAATAAAATTAACTTTTGGTAAAAGTAGGAGCAGATACATGAGAAAGAAGAGAGAATGTATAAGCTTTTAAAATATGTAAAGTAATAATAATACATAAAGTAAAGCAATAATAATAACCTTGATTTGGAGTATTGTATACTAAGGGAAATTTAAGTGTACAGTTAAATCACTTTAAATTTTTTTTTTTTTAATGTAAATTGGAGTTTTATTTTTTCTTATCAAAATAGCAAACTTTCTCTTGCGATTGTTTTGAGTATGTAGTAGTTCTGGTTACTTCAGGTGGTTTCTCACTTGATTATAGTAAGTATTTTACAGTTAACAGGGGATTTGTCTAATTTTCTAGGTGTTCCAGAAACCTCTAGGGTTAATTATACCTCATAGATACTGCAAATTTCATTTTAATACTTTACGTGGCTGTGAACGATCACAGTGTAAGTTTACTCATGTCCCTGAGCAAGGAGATGAAAAGGTAAAATACACAAAGTCTTTAAAGTAGAAATTGTTTTCATAACTATTTCAGTCATGCATTTTAATTAAGATTTTCATGAACTCCTAATGGCATAGATGAGGTTTGCTAGATATTGTGCTTTATGTAAGTGGAATTATACAATATGTGTTCTTTTTTGTCTGAATTCTTTTGCTCAGTGTTTTTGAGAATATAAAACTTTTTTGCTTAATTGTAGATATTTCTTTCTTATTGCTTTATAGTATTTAATATTCCAGGGTGAAAACATCAGAATTTATTTTATTGGTATTTATTACCATTATGGGCATTTGGATCATTTAAAATACTATAGTAGTGATGCTGTCAGTATTCTTCTGCCTGTCTGTTGTTGAAAACAGTATACTTTCTGATGCTTTATACTGGAATTGCTGCATTATAAAGTCTAAATGTTCAATTTTAATACATACTGCCAAACCATTTTCCAAAGTGGTTGTACAAATTACATGTGCAAATTACAGCTTAGTCAGCAATATGTGAGCGGTATAGTTGCCTCACATCCTCTCTAGCTTCTGGAAGTATCAGCCTTTCAGTTTTAGTCATGCTTGTGGATTGCTTCACTGTGATTTTAACTTGTATTTCCCTGATGATTGATGAAATTGAGTATATATCCAAATATTTGTTAGATATATGGATTTTTTTTAGTATCTGAATTTTTTGCCTATATTCTATGGGATATTTTTTCTTACTAGTCTATGAGAATATGTATTCCAGATACAAGTTCTTTTTTGGAGATACGTAATACGCATATATATGTGTATTTATGTGTGTATAGCAAATACCTTCCTGCTTTATAAGTTGCCTTTCATTCTCCGGAAGGTATTCTTTTATAAAACAGAATTTCTTGATTTTTATTATAACCTAATTTGTCAATTTAAAATTTTTTTATGATATTACTATATGGCATCCTGTTGAAATCTGTGCCAGGATCATGAAAATGACTGTCTTTTTTGCCATTGTACTGCAATGTCGCCCATGTCATAAGTCAGCCAACTATATATGAATGGGCCTATTTTTAGGCATTGTTCTAATCCATTGGTCAAAGCATTTATTCTTAAAAATTATTATTTTTAAATGACCTTAAGGATTTTGTAATGAATTCAGTATGCATTTCAAACCTGTGAGCTAACCTAACATCAACTTTTTTTATTCCAGTACTATAAATGCATTTTAAAAATTTAGTATGAGCAAAAAGATAGGATTGAAATTTGTGTCATTTTTCTGAAAAAGTAATTATATATTATTTGGTTACTTTTGCAGGTTTGCATGGATGCGTTTAAGAAATATATAAATATTGATGAGTTGTGTTTGCTACAACGTGCAGGTATTAAACAATTGAATGGTTGCTATAAATTCATTAATGTGGATGTTTCAAACAGTGTGTTGTTATATCTTGTAGTTTGAAAGTAAATTTAGTACCTTCTAAGTAAGAAGCTCTGGTAGCGTAGTGGTTACGAATCGGGCTGCGAACCTTAAGGTCAGCGATTCAAAACTACCAGCCGCTCCGCGGGAGAAAGATGAGGCTTTCTACTCCCGTAAGGATTTACACCCTCGGAAACCCTGGACAGGGTCGCTATGGGTCGGAACCG